GACCCCAGAGGAACAAAATTGTTTGAGGGGAGTTGTGTGAATAGAAGACACAAGACAATCATGGCTGTGGTTGTAGGAAGCACCCTACAGCCTAGAACACTTTATTAAAACCTTATTGCTTATGCAGTTAAAGAGACACTGATTGAGCTACAGGTTTCCTGTACCCTGTCCCAGGTCACTCTGTGCAGAGCTTCTCCAGGCTGTTGGGAGCTGGGAGACTGCTAGGCAGGGGCAGGCCCCAGAGTGGGAAGCATGGTACCTCCCAGGAGCCTCAGAGTGGGTAGCGGGATTCACGATGGCCCTCAGGGTGAGCAGAGAGGTCAGGAGTGTAGGCTTAAGCCAGGGCCCAGGGGCTACATTCCCTGAGATGAATCAAGCCCAGCCCTCTCTGGGGTTTCCAGAACAAAGGCTAGGTGTGGGGAGCAGCACTATGGAGAGGGCAGGAGGCATGTCTCTAGGCATTGCTTGAACTGGGGGAAGATTGTCAGAATGGCTGGGGTAATGTTTGTATAATCTGTGGCAACTGGGCCTTCCTGCATGAAAGTGGGAGGTTGAGTATCCTTTATGGAAGAGTCATGCACCAAGGCTAGGCTGGAGTAGCCAGCTCCAGTGGCTCTACTGGGATGACTAAAGTAGGCAAGGAAAGCCACATACTACCCACACCCCACCTTCATCAACTGTGTTCATGCAGGATGAGGCAGTGAGCTGCCCAACAAGGATGGGGTCATTTCTCAGGCCTAGGTATTGATGTTATCTTAATTCTTTAGTCTGGAAGAACTTGGTTGGGGATGGGGAATGGTAAGCACTTCCTTAAGCAAACCCACTCTTCGTGTCTCCTAGGGGTATCTTTTCATCGACCTATCTCCAGAGAATAACCTGGCTGCTCTCACTTCTCCAGCTTTTCCCAAAAGGCACTTGTTACAGGGCTGCTGAGGGGAGGGGGAGGGGGAGGGTTGCCTGGGAGGGGGGTCTGGTGGTGGCACCCAATATACAGGGTCCAGAGTCAGGATGGAAGTAGTCAGGGATTAGCGGCTGCCATAGTACAGGCGCATGGCCAGGCCAATGAGCAATGTGGCCAGGAAAAAGGTGGCTGTGAGCTGCAGCCGCAGCAGGACTGCTGAGAGCACGGCGTTGACCACCAGTGAGCAGGACACCACAAAGAGGCGTGTGATGCTGCTGCCGTGCTTCATGACAGCAGACATGAGCAGTCCATTTAGCGCCTGGCTCAGCACCACGAGTGCTGCCCATCCTGAGAAACCTTCCAGGAGGCCTGGGCCGGGGCCGCCGCCAGCATGCAGACCTAGATTCAGGAGCACACCAAAAGTGTAGAGGAAGAGGTTCTGAAGTGCCAGGGGCAGCCGCTGTCGCTTCATGAGCAGCTCTGTGTACACTGAAGACAAGCCCGAGATGAGGCAGTGCAGGATGAGAAGCAGCAGGCCCAGTGGAGTGATATGCAGGGGCATGGGGCTGGCAGCAGCTGCTGGTGGGGGACTGGGAAAGGTGTTCCTAGGAACTTGAAGACCACCTGCTGCATAGCAGGCTCCCGCAGCCATCAGCAGCAGCAGCGCTAACCCCTGACGCACAGAGAGGCGGTGCCGGAGGCAGAGGCAGTAGAGCAGGGCTGTGCTTCCAATCTTGAGATTGCTCAGCACCTGGTAGGTGCTGGGGTCCATGTAACGCTGAAGATAGATCACCAAGTTGTTGTTGGCGCCATAGAGCAGAGCTGATAGTGCGAAGGGAGCAGCCTGGCGCCAGGGTGGGGCCCCCTGGGGCCATGCTTGCCAGCCCACCAGAAGGGAGAAGGCGCATAACAGTAGTTTGGTCAGTTCAGTCAGCAGCACGGCTGAGGAGGGCCGAAAGGGCACACGGCCGTTCACATGGCACAGCGCCAGCAATGGGGCATGGGCACCATACATAGCAGTGGATAGGAGTAGCATCAAGGTCCAGCGGGCCTGCCTGGGACGGCCCAGGCCCTGCATACCCCCATCCTCTACACTCATACCCACACCAGACCCTGGATGGCCAAGGGGCAGCAGGGATTACAACACATTTGGAGAAAATCAAGTTACAAAGCCAGCTCCCTGGAAGGAGGAGCTATGGAACATCGCCAGAGAGAATAAGGATCAGAGTTATCTACCAACTCCGCAGTCAGGGCTTGAAAAGTAAGGAGCTGGTGGCGCTTGAAGCTGCAGTCTTGGGGCCAGTCCCATGGAGTCAGGAAGGGGAAGAAGGAATCCAGGGTGCAGTCTGCGGAACTACTGTCCACACTCTGCAGGAGGGGAGGCAAGGATAAAGGTGGCAGGAAAGTTGGAGACAGCAAATGGATGACAGCTGGGGAATCCAGATAAAGTGTCTGCACCTGCAGGTCAAGCTGCTCATTCTGCCTCTTCCATGGCACCCAGAGCTAGTCAGGCCCCTTGCGTAGCGACTGCAAATAGTCCCTTAATGTCTTTTCCACATTGGGCACAGCATATGCCTGAGCTGCGTAGATGCCAGTGCAGGTGCCCACAGCAAAACCCAGTACTGCTGATGCCCTCAGTTTGGCCACCACATAGCCAGCCAGGAATCCCTTGAGGAATGGGGAGGACAATAGCGAGCCATCCTGCAGAGAAAAATGCAAAAGGAAACTCAGCTAGGCTCTTCCCTGACTCTGTTCAGGGGCTACTCAAGCTGGGATTAGAGCATTCCACCGCTTGCTCCTCTTCACCCTGGACAACCGTGGTATTTTCTCCAGATTTTTCCCAAGGTTCTGGGACCAGAAAAAGAACCTTGCAGTTCTGATCACACAATCTCAGAACGCTGGGGTCAGAAAGCTCCAATCATAGAACTCTACTGCCACACAAGGTCAGAGATGCCCCTAGCCCTGCTGGTTTCTCCAGCCTCATTTCCCAGCATGCTCCCTGACTACTGTGGCCAAGGGGACCTCCTTTCACCCCTCATGTTTATAATGCTCCTCCTATCACAATTACATATGCTGTTCTATCTGCCTGGAATGTTCTTTCCTCCCCTCTTCACCTATTTAACCACTGCTTAAGATGTTAGTTCATGTGCCATTCAGAAAAAACTGTCCTTAGGGTGACTTAAAATAGGCCTTCAATAATCATTTGCTGAATAAATCTCTACCATTCATTCAACACTCTCAACAGCGTGTTGGGCAATAAAGCCTACGGCAGGGGAGGAGTGGGACAGTCTTTACCTGGCCCACTCCAGTGTTGACTTCGTCTTCCACGCGTCGCTGCAGGCGTTCCAGCTGGTTCTTGAGAAATGCCAGGTCCTTAAGCTTAGGCAGAGAATCCTAGGACAAGGGAGAGGCTGGCTCCAGCAGTCTGACTCAGCCCCACCCCTTGCTCAATTCCATTAGAAGCTGGGAATTGGGAAGGGATGGGATGAGTCAGAAAGACCTTTTCCTATAAAGGCTTCCTGAGATGGCAGTGGCAAAGGAAGAAAAGCATTGAAAAGCACAGAGTTCAAATCAGGACCAGGAAGGGACTGACAGATGGGATCTGAATCAGTAACTCACATCAACCTCGATAAGAATTTTATATAGCAAGCAGTATGTAGGAAAGGTGGGAAGGACAGCTAGGGGACCTTTAATTAGGTCCATCAGAAAAGCACTACTAATTCCATTATGAGCTCCTTGAAAGTCGTGACGAGTCTGTCTTGGCTACTATGTCCTAGTGCCTGACATTTTGTAAATGTGTGGGTAATGCTGAGATTCTAGACCAATGGTGAGTACTGGATCGAGGCGGCTTCCTGGACAATTTGATTGTCTTGGTTCCTGTCTGGGCTTTACCTTTTTCTGCCTAAGGCCATCCCAAACTGAATGTGAGTGACTGGATGCAAGTGAGAATGACAAAAAAAAAAAAAAAAAGGAGAGAGAATGACTGTCGGCAAGTGTGTAAGTAAATGAATTGGGTGATTCTGATCGCATATAAGTATGAAATTCAGAGTGTATGCAAGGGAGTGTTTGAATGAGGGTGGTGTGAGTGTCCGTGTGATTGGAAACATCATGTCACTGGGAAGGAAATTTCAGGGGCTAGGGAATGGGGTAAAGTGAGGAGTGTTTCAAGATGAATGTGTTTGAGTATGTGCTAGTTACTTGGGTTCGTGATGGTTCCCAGGAGGGGACATCGGGGGAATCCACGGCTCCTCCCGCCTAGCCGAATGCTCTCCCCACACCACTCCACACTGTTAAGACAGTTGACAGGAGCCTCAGAAGAAGCAAGGGACATCCTCACTCCTGAGCCGCTCCAGAGTCGCTTCTACTAGGAACTATAAAAGTCAAGGAGAGTGAAGACCACGCCCGGCTGCAGATCACCCGCAAGGCTACTCACCTTGTCATCCGCCATCTTCCCCGCCGAACTTGTTGCGCAGGCGCTGCCCCGCCTCCCTAGTGCCGACTACTTTGGCCATATTTACTGAGGGCGAAGGCACTTCCGGAGCACTTTTGTAAAGGGTGAGGTGCATTCCTAACAACCAAGCCCGCCTCGCCCAGATACTTCCACGTGATACTTCCACGTGACTCCGTCCATCGAGTCCCCGGCTACGCGTGAGCTGATTCTCTACCCGAGCGCGATGATCTCACTCGAGCGCGCGATGCATGTTCGTCTTGGCAGTCTTCGGGGCCTGATGAGCTCATAGTTGCGCGGTGGTGTCAGCGCGTTCGCTGGCGTTCTTGCGCCTCCCCCGGACTCACACACTGCAACACGCAGCCATTCGGGCTTCCAGACGCCTGTTTAGACGCACCACCCCTCGGCGGGCGGTGCAGCTCAGGACCGCCCCCAGGACCGGCCCATGTCCCGCCCAGTATTTGTGCGGTGCCAGCTGGCCCGGCAGCCTTCGGTGCAGAGAGGCTGGGCTTGCAGGCGCAGCAGCTCCGGAGGTCACGCTGGGCTGAGAGTGCTGGCCGGCAAAGGCCGGCGGAGAGCGGCAGGGGTTATGCTGGGCAAGGATTACATGCTGGCCATCATTCTGGTCAACTGCGATGGTGTGCACGGAGGGGCCCGGTGGGAAGACCAGGAGCTGAGGGAGGATGAGGGAATGCGAAAGGCTACTTTGGGGCTCAAAGACAGGGTGGGGGATACGTCTCTGTGTAGGGACCGGGGGAAACTAATGAACCCGATCTTTACGTGTTATGCCTTCAAGATTGGGGAGCTTGGATCTTCAGCCTAAGAACTGACCCATTTTGTGGATGGAGAGTGGATTATGATAACATGTTATTGTGAACTCACAAATAATATGCTCCCTTTTTTCTAACCCGGTGTTCCTGTAGATGACTTGTGGGGGGACCAGAGTCTGGAAGGGGAGCCCGGCCTGCCCCCTGGCTGGAGGAAGATCCACGATGCTGCAGGTACTTACTACTGGCATGTACCCAGCGGTAGCACCCAGTGGCAGCGCCCAACCTGGGAACTAGGAGATGCGGAGAACCCAGGCATGGTAGGTGGAGTGTGAGGAAGAGGTCTGAGCCCGTGTGTGGACCTAGGTCTGCTAGTACACTGACTAACCCTCACTCCACAGGAAACCGAGGGGATTTGGGGACTGCGGCCCCCCAAAGGGAGATCCTTCTCCAGCCTGGAGAGCTCACTGGACCGGAGGTAACAGGGGTGGCCCTGGCAAAATGAAAGGCTTGGGGTTCCATGGCATTCAAAAATGCAGCTGGACCCACGGCCTGCTTTCCAGCCTAGGGTCTGAATTCTGTCCCATGTTTTGGGTTCTGTTGTGTTCTTGACTCTGTCCCATGTTCTTAACTGTCAGTATTTTGAGTTTTATTCCTTGTTCTAAGCTCTTGTTTGTAGCTACATGTTTTTCATATTCTTGGTCCTAAGCTATCATGTTCTAGACCTTGGCCATTAAGTCCTGTGTTCTAGGGTCTCTTGTCCTAGTTTGGGGTTCTGGTCCACATATTGGACCCTGCTCCATTTTGTGACTTTTATTCTTTTTTTTTTTTTCTTTTGAGGTGGAGTCTTGCTCTGTCGCCCAGGCTGGAGTACAGTGGCCGAATTTCGGCTCACTAAAACCTCTGCCTCCCGGGTTCAAGCGATTCTCCTGCATCAGCCTCCCGAGTAGCTGGGACAACAGGCACACGTCACCACACCCAGCTAATTTTTGTATTTTTAGTAGAGACGGGTTTTCACCATGTTGGCCAGGATGCTCTCAATCTTCTGACCTCGTGATCCACCCGCCTTGGCCGCCGAAAGTGCTGGGATTACAGACATGAGCCGCTGTGCCTGGCCTTGGTGACTTTTATTCTATGTCCTATGTCTGGGTCCTCTGTCCCGAATTTTCCCTCAAATTCTAAGCCACATTTTATGTTCTGTAATATGTCCTGGGCTCTACCATGCCTTGGTTTTATATATCTGGGGCTGTATTCTGGGTCTTGCCCCTCATCCTGTGCTCATCAAGTAGTCTAGGCCTCACAAGTGTCTCTACTATAGGAAATGTGGTCCTCTTTACAGCTCTGCTTTGTTTCAGTAACTCTCTGTCCTGGTATGGTGAAGAATCCTACATCCAGAGCATGGAGCCAGGGGCTAAGGTAGTGACTTGGGCCACAGAGCATTGGGAGGTCCCAAGTGAAAGACCAAGGGTGGGATTGGACTGAGCAGAGGTCATCAAGGATGAAGGCAGGGTGTTTGTATTGTGGCACCTGCCACCTTACTCCATCCCTATTCCTGTCCCTTCTCCCAACCCATCAGTGCTTTGCAGTTCGCTCTCTGGGCTGGGTAGAAGTACCTGAAGAGGACCTGGCACCGGGGAAGAGCAGTATTGCAGTCAATAACTGCATCCAGCAGCTGGCCCAGACCCGCAGCCAGAGCCAGCCCCCAGATGGTGCCTGGGGTGAGGTAAGTTGGCTGGGCCCCACGGTGGGTTTTGCCCAGTGCCCAGCAGAGGTAGTTGTCCCTGAATTGCCTATTTCCCATGGCAGTGACCTTTATCTGAGCTCTGGACTGAGCTCTGTCCTTGGCAGGGCCAGAACATGCTGATGATCCTGAAGAAGGATGCCATGAGCCTGGTGAATCCCCTGGACCACAGTCTGATCCACTGCCAGCCTCTGGTGCACATCCGTGTGTGGGGCGTGGGGAGCTCCAAGGGTCGGTGAGGATGCCTACATTCCCCCAAGCGAGAGCTACTTCTCCCTCCCTACTGCAGGCTGTGATCCCCACTGATGCTGATCCCCAGTACTTGAACCCCTGGACACAGATCCTCTGATGTGGACCCACGACTGCCTCCCCTGCCTGGTCCAGCCCTGGTTGGGGAGGGTGGGCCCAGCTCAGCAGGGACAGATGGGGGAGAGCCCAAGAGGCTGGGCTGATTCCCTTCTGTGCTCCCACATGCTTCCGGAACAGTGACAGGTGAGTGAAAACCAGGTAACCTGAGCCCCATCCCTGACCTCCCTACTCCATCTCTGCCATATCCGTAGCCTGACTTTCCAGCCTCCTGCAGGCTCCTGCCTCTAACCAGCCTCTACCCCAGCCCCATCTCTGCCCCTGCTAGGGACTTCGCTTTTGTGGCAAGTGACAAAGACAGCTGTATGCTCAAGTGCCATGTATTTCGCTGTGATGTTCCTGCCAAGGCCATTGCCAGTGTCCTACATGGGCTTTGTGCCCAGGTAAGGGTCGGGGTGGGGCAGGGAATGTGGGTAAGGGATTGGGTCTGAAGCTTCCAAGGTAGTTGGAGGGGTATTGGCCCTTTTACCCTAATTTCCCTCTCTCCCTATGGGTCATGCTGGCTTCATTGTGTTTTAGATCTTGTCAGAGCGAGTAGGGGTCAGTGGTGATGCCTCTTGCTGCTCCCCAGATCCTATCTCCCCTGAAGACCTGCCACGACAAGGTATGGGGAGGGGAGTCCTGCATTGCTGCATCAGGCTGCTTTGGTGATGCTTTGTGGATGGGTGATTTCTGGTTATTTAGTACTTCTGTGGATAAATTTCTGAGGTGTCTGGTCTCAGGGATCCCAAGCCGTGAGTTGGAGGAGCATCTATGAGTCTTTCTTCTAACAGCACCAGCTTTGACCTGAGTCCTGGCCCCATCAGAAGGGTGGGGAAAAGGGTAATTGAGAGAGCTGCCAGGCCAACTTTATGTTTATATTTCAGTGGAGTTGCTGGATGCGGTGAGCCAGGCTGCTCAGAAGTATGAGGCACTGTACATGGGGACACTGCCAGTCACCAAAGCCATGGGTGAGGACTGAGGGGGCTGCATATGGTGGGCTGTGTAAAGCAAGGGGAAGGTGAATGAGCTGGGGCTCACTACCATTTCTCAGAGTCCTCCCATGGCCTTGTTATGGCCTGGAATGTACCAGCCTTCCCAATTCGGAATTCTAAGCCTTGCCCCAGCTATCCTGTTCCCATATCTCTGAATCCGAAGTCAGTGAGAGGGGCCTAGACACTCCCTGCAGACTCTTTCTTTCTTTACAACTGGGAGACATGCTGGGCATGTTCCCCTAGGCATGGATGTGCTGAACGAGGCCATTGGTGCCCTCACTGCCAGGGGGGACCGGAATGCCTGGGTCCCCACCACGCTCAGTGTGTCTGACTCTCTCATGACTGCATACCCCGTTCAGGTACCAGAAGAGGGTGAAGTTGGGGGCTTTGGAGGGGTGAGCAGGGATGCTGAGGGGTCACTGCTTGCTGCCAGAAAAGTTCAGTGGGTCTGGCCAGTGCTTGGCCCTCTAGTGACTAGGCCTGGTGTGGGCAGGCAGAGGCCAGTACAGAGGAGGAGCCATTGTGGCAGTGCCCTGTGCGCCTTGTGACATTTATTGGTGTTGGCCGCGACCCACACACCTTTGGCCTCATCGCTGACCTGGGCCGTCAGAGCTTCCAGTGCGCAGCCTTCTGGTGCCAGCCCCATGCAGGGGGACTCTCCGAAGCTGTGCAGGCTGCCTGTATGGTGAGTCAGGGGTGGGAATGGGTGGGTGGGATTGCCCTGCAGCTGCTCTCCACTATTTACTGGGGCTCAGGGTCGGCAGCCTCTTCAGAGATCATAAACGTGGGCTGATTCTGGTTCATTAATGTTTGGGCCCTCATGCTGTTTTTAGTAAGTTTTAATTAGTTGCCAATACTTACAGGACAGGACATTTCACATAATAATCACTATCTTCTTTTTGCTAAAATATCAAGAGCTCTGGCACTCGGTTCACACGTATAAATGTCAGCATGCAGCCAGAATTGTGCAGAAGCTGTGCTCTAAAGAGTAGACATTGTTGATCCTGTTTGTCTTATTTAGGTTTATTTCCTGGCACCTGTGGGCATTTGAGTGTGGGTTGCTTACACTTTGTTAGTTCAGTTCACTCATGCATTCAACAAATTTGCGTGCTTACAGGGTCCCAGGCACCATAGATGACCCTGAGGATTTAGTGCTATAAAGGGCACAGTCCTTGCCTTCACAAAACACTTAGGATAGAGCCAAGATAGACCAGAAATAAGTTGTACACGACTGGTTGACGGAAGAGGTGGCCCTTTTAGGGGTCAGGAAGGTTACCTGTAAGAGCTGATAGAAAACCGAGAGTCCAAGAAGGAAGTTAGCCAGCTGAAAGGGAGTGGAGCAGGTGTGCCAAGCACGGGAGCCTTCGCTGTGAAGGTGAGAGATATTGGTGGATGAGAGTATCTGAAAGAATCTAGTGTATCTGGCATGCAAGGGGGATGTAGTGAGAGATGAGATCAGAGAGAATGACAGAAGCCAGGTTATGGGGAACCTCACAGGTCAGGGTGATGAGTTCATCTGGAGGCACTAGGAATCTTTGAAGCTGGACAGTGAAGTCAGGTTTATGAATTAGGATGACCACTTAAGCTATAATATGGCTAAAAGCTTTGGAGGACACAAGAGAGGAGGTAGGAAGGATAATTAGGACACCTTTGAACCTTTCAGATGAGATGACTGGGGGCAGTTGCATTGAGGCTGGAGTTTGAGTTGTATACCCTTACCCTTGACTAGGGAATCTGCTTTGCCAGGGACTAGTCCACACCAGTGAGAGATGGAAAAGAGGCAGCACAGTGGTACATGTAATTGGGAGTTCAGGCTCTGCAATCAGAAGGAACTAGGTTGAATGCCATTTCTGCCTTTCTTTGGCTGTGTGACCTTGGGCAAGTCATATAGTCTCTGAATCTCAATTTCCTCATTTGCAAAACAGGGATAACACTTCATAAATAACTGAATTATACAAAGCACTTAGCAGTGTCCAGCCCTCCTTAAGTGCTTGATACACGTTTTATGATTTTTGAGCTACCTGGAATGCTCTAGAAACTTCACATGTAGCCAGCTACCAACCTTGTTATCAGATAGAAGATTTGGCCAGTACTCTGTCCAGCAGAAGATTTCTGGGAGTCTAGGGGCAGAAAGTAGCTGGATCCTCAAATTCCCCTTCTCTCTAGGTTCAGTACCAGAAGTGTCTTGTGGCCTCTGCAGCTCGAGGCAAGGCCTGGGGTGCCCAGGCCCGTGCCCGCCTGCGGCTCAAGCGGACCAGCTCCATGGATTCCCCAGGAGGACCTCTGCCCCTCCCGCTGCTCAAAGGAGGGGTTGGCAGTGCAGGGGCAACCCCTCGAAAGCGGGGTGTCTTCTCTTTCCTTGATGCCTTCCGGCTGAAACCCTCTCTGCTCCATATGCCCTAAACTTACCTGGGAAGGCTGGGGAAGGAGGCTCTGGGTCCATGCCTAACACTGTACCCCGTTATTCCCCAAGGCCTATAGCCTGTCACCCCTTGGAGCCTTCTCTGCCTGTCCCTCTGATCCTTGTCCACCGTCTATTTATTGCCCGATTTATTGTTTATATGGATGACTGGGAGGCATTGCCCCACAACCTAGGACCCTGGCTCCCCTTTCCTTGGATCCTTGTGTTCCTTGCCCGTCCAACCCTGGACAATTGGCTCTACCTCAGTAACACTTTATAGCAAAATCAGTGCAAATAAAAATCCCTCAGTGACCTCACTGGGTATGAGTATATTGGGCCTGGGACAGGGCTGGGGGCTAACAGCCTGTGTGAGATCAGTGTCTTTGTGTCTGTGCTTGATATTGGTGGCTCTCTGTAGTCACATGACAGTATGGGTGTGATGGAGATCTGACTTCATTCATTCAACAAACATATTTTTTTAAGCACTTCTCTGTGCCAGGCACTAAGCTAGGCACTGGGGATGTAATAAAATAGGGTCCCACCTTCTGAGACTGTCAGACAGGGAGATGAACAAGAATCAAGACAGATGTGATGTAATTCAACTAGGAAATTTCAGAGGGTTGTAGGGTTGTGGGAGCACGAGTGAGACACTTAACCTGGCCTAAGATTCCAGAAGGCCTCCTGAAGAACTGACATCTGAGCTAAGTACTGAAGGAAGATGAGTACTAGTTAGTGAGGCTACAAGACGTGAATATATAGATTGTGCAGGGCAATGCACAGAGGAGGCTGTAGAAGTCAACCTTGCTAGATCACAGTGGGGCGTATGTGGGAGCGTCTGGTTGTTTGAACTTGCTCCAGAGAGGATGAAGGCTTCTAGAGCGCTGGCTCCTGGACAACAACCTCTGGTGCCTTGTGACCAGGGCCCCAATACATTAGATAGAGCCTTCGAGTCTTGGGGAGTTTGGCGCAGGGTCCCCACGGCGGCTCCCGCCGGTTGTGAACGACCATCCACTCTCAAGGGCTCCAGGCAATCGCCTGGCCAGGACACGGCTCACCTGGCCCTTGTGAGCGGCCGCCCCGGAAATGACGCGCTGCCCTGCTGGCCAAGCGGAAGTGGAGATGGCGGAGCTGTACGTGAAGCCGGGTAAGCACGGCCGGCGGGCTAGGGCGCTAGGTCCTCGCCCCGGCCTAGGCTAGGGGAGGTGGCGGCGCGGGGTATGGACCCTCTGTTTCCCATCCCCAATATAAGCTAACGGTGGAGTTCTGGGCTCGCTTCACACATCCCTCGCTTCCTTAGGCAACAAGGAGCGCGGTTGGAACGACCCGCCGCAATTCTCATACGGGCTGCAGACCCAGGCCGGCGGACCCAGGCGCACGCTACTCACCAAGAGGGTCGCTGCACCCCAGGATGGATCCCCCAGAGGTGCGTGGGGCCCCTGTGCTCGAAGACCGGCGGAGAATGGGCAGTGTAAGGGATAAGCCTGTCCGCAAGACTTTTTTCTGTTCCCCGAGGACTCCTTAAGTTAAGGAGAGAGGTTTTGGGGTTCCAGTAAGGGTCTCAGGGCAGGTGCTTTTCCGAGCCGCTTCTCTGCTGCTTAGATTACTAAATGGTATATTGATTTAAAAAGACTATATTTTCATCCTAGGTGATCTCATCCAGACCCTGTGGCTTTTAATATAGTTTTTATCCTCAAGTTATTTTGTTAACCTGTATCTCTTCCCAGAAGCTCATAGTAGCATATCAATTTGTTCATTCCGTTTTCACTTGGGTATATGATAATCGTGTCAGACTTCACAACGATTCATTTATTTAATCACTGTTATTTACTGAGCACTTAACTATGAGTCAGGGATGGTTTAAGGGCCAACTAGGCAGCAGTGACTAAAACATAAGATCTCTGCTTTCAGGGAGTACACGTTGTAGCACTGGAGATGGACTGAAAGATGAAATAGTGGTGAGGGTGTAGAGAGAAGTAAGCAGTGATGTAATATGACTGGGTAAGTAGGTGTCTGAGGGGCTGACATTTAAGCCACACAAAGATCATGTACAAGAGCATTCCAAGCAAAAGAAACAGCTGCAACAGGAACAAGTTTGGCCAATTCAGAGACTGATACAGTGGCTGGCTACAGCATTGTGGGCTTTGTACACCAGGATAAGGAGTTTGTATTTTAATCTACATAAAGTTGGAAGCCATTGAAAAGATTAAAGTAGAGGAGAGCCACCTTTTCCCCCGAGAATTTTCCAGGCCATTAAATGGACTGTGCTGTGGCCCCAAGAAAGGGACTCAGGTTTGGTTCTTTCAGTTGCCCTCCATTCTCCACACCCTTTTTGCTGTAGAATGATGATACAGGGCTTGGTTTTTTTGTTTGTTTGTTTTTGAGACAGAGTCTCACTCTGTGGCCCAGGCTGGAGTACAGTCGGGTGATCTTGGCTCCCTGTATCCTCCGCCTCCCCAGTTCAAGGGATTCCCTGCCTCAGCCTCCTGTGTAACTGGGATTACAGGCATGCGCCACCACACCCGTCTAATTTTTGTATTTTTAGTAGAGATGGGGTTTCACCAGGTTGGCCAGCCTGGTCTTGATCTTCTGACCTCTTGATCCACCCACCTCAGCCTCCCAAAGTGCTGGGAATACATGTGTGAGCTGAGCCACCGTGCCCGGCCCAAGGCTTTGTTTCTTAAACTCAGCAGTATTGGTAGGTTGTGGCCAGATAATTCTTTGTGAGGGACTCTCCTGTGTGTTATAGAATGTTTATCAGCAACTCTGACTTCCACCAATAGATGTCAGTAGCATCCACCCAGTTGTGACAGCCAAAAGTGTTTCCAGACATTTGATATGTGGGCACTATTTTCCTAGCTTGAGAACCACGGACTGATTTACATTCTGGAAAGATCACTGTGTCTGCTCTGTGAAGACAAGATTTTAGGGGAGTGGAAAGACAAATTACAGCTATTATGGTAATATAGGCAAAATTTAATGATTTGCCTAAGGGTGGGTGTTAGGAGTTGAATGGATATGAGATGGAGAAAGTCAGTAGGAATGAGTAGATATATGAGGAGCCCATATAACCAAAATGTTTTGCTTGATATAGGAAGACTGGGGGATAGTGGTTTTTGGGAGAGGGGAGTTTTTTTTGGGTGGGGTGCTCTGCTAAGTTAGGCTATTATTTTTGGGGAAAGGTCTAGGCCAGAATTAGAGAAATAAGTCACCATTATGGGGATGGTATTTGATGTCATGGGCTTGAATAAGGCCAGGGACAGAGCCCTAGGGCTTTCTAGCATTTCAAGATTGAGTAGAGAAGGAATAAGCAAAGGAGACTGAGAAATGGCCAAAGAAGAAAACAGGAGAGGCCAGGTGCGGTGGGTCACGCCTGTAATCCTAGCACTTTGGGAGGCCAAAGCGGGCAGATCACCTGAGGTCAGAAGTTCAAGACCAACATGGCGAAAATGTCTCTACTAAAAATACAAAAATTAGCTGTGTGTGGTGGTAGGCGCCTGTAATCCCAGCTACTTGGGAGGCTGAGGCAGAGAATCTCTTAAACCTGGGAGGTTGAGGTTGCAGTGAGCTGACATTGTGCCACTGCACTCCAGCCTTGGCAACAGAGCGAGATTCCATCTCAAAAACAAAACCAAAACCAAAATTAAAAAGAAAATAGGAGAGTGTAAAGTCATGAATCAATAGTGATGAATGCTGCTGAGACATCAAGATAGAGACAAGGAACCACTAGATTTTAAAAACATAGCAGTCACTAGTGATCGTAAGAGCAGTCTCTACAGTAGTGAGAACAGAAACTTAGCTGGAATGGGCTAAGAAGAGAATGTGAAAAGTAGAGTGAGTGACTATAAACAGCTCTCTCAAATTCTGCTGTGAAGTGAATATAAGAAATGGGACAGTATCTGAAAATGGAATGTGAAGTAAGGGAGTGTTTTGATAGTAATATGCTAGAGCATGTTTGTATGCTGATGGGATGATTCAGGAGAGAGGGAGAACTGATGATGTAAGAGAAGAGAGAGAATTACAGTAGGGAAGTCTAGAGAAGACGAGAGGCTAGGATGCAGGGTACAGGTGGAAAGATGGCTTTTGATAGGAGCAGGAACCTTTTCATCTATTACTAGAGGAAGAAAAGTGGCCACAAATGCAGGTGGGTTAGGAGGACTGGTGGTGTGAAGATGAGAGTTTCTGTTTAATGACCTGTACTTTCTCGGTGCAACATCAGGCAGTGTCAGAAGTAGATAGCAGGGAAAGGAAGATAAATTCTGAAGAGTGGAAAAAATGAGGCAAAATATCCAGTCAGTGTTTGGTGCCTTTTAAAATCTGGTAAAACCATGCTGATAATAAAGTATCGGCATGTTTCTGTTTTTCCTCCCAAGTGCAGGCAACTTGGGTTTAATCAGGAAAGTGGGACAATGGGAGGAGATAAAGGAGATAAGAATATTTATAAGGGAGTGATTTTAATGTACATTGAAATCAAAGTAGGTGAGCTGGAAGGGGTAGGAAGGGATGATCAGATTTTGGAGGTGACAGTGTTGTAAACAAGGCAGGGGGATGAGAGGCTGACGTAGGGTGGGAAAAAATGATAACGAGGTTAAGAGGTCAACTGAAATGACAAATTACTAAATGAATTAATCATCCTTGTGGCTACTGATACCTAAAAGTAAATTTTTGACTTTTCTCCTCCGGTCTTCTTTCTGTCAGTGGCTCCCATTACTAAAGTCAGAAACTAAGAGTCAACTTGACTTCTCTCTTCCTCACTCCCAATCCACTCCTGTTGCTACTTCCTCCTAACTAAATCTCAGACTACTACATTCACCTCATCTACTCTTTTACCCTAGTCCACGCTAGCATCATCTCCTTCCTGGACTACTCAACCTCATAACTGGTATTCCTGCCACCATTGTTGACCTGTTTCCATCAGTTTTTCACAGAGCAGGTGTGTGTAAAAATAAGGCTGGTTACATTGTCCCTTGCTTTTATAAACCTGCAGTGGCTTCCCAGTATCACTGACTCAAGACCAAACTCTCCTAAAGTCCTGCTGGGTCTGGACCCCCTGCTTACCTCTCTAGTGATAGCTCATGCTACTTCAGTGATAATTTTTAGCCTTACAGGCCTCATTTCTGTCTCTTGAATATTCAAGTCAAGACTTTTCCTGTTTCTTGGGCACTGCTCTCACCTCTACCTAGTACCTGTTCCTTCAGCTCTCTCTTTTTTTCTTTTTTAAAGACAAGAGTCGTGAACTGTTGCCCAGGCTGGAGTGCAGTGGCATGAGTTCTGTTCACTGCAATCTTTACCTTCTAGGTTCAAGCAATTCTCCTG